ATACAAACTTGATGTATGCTTTCAAAAAAAAAAAAAAAAAAAAAAAAAAAACTTCTAGCAAAACAATTTATGCTAAAGTGCTAAAATTCTAGTCATGATTTTGTGAAATTCACTGCATGACACAGCCATTAGATTTCAATGTAAAATTCTCAACACTACTAGTGTAAAGAAAGTATAATTAACCAGGGAAAAGTTAATGACTTCAGTGCACCATAAAGATTTGCTATTTACTTCTGACCATATGTCCAAAAAATAAAGATAAGTTGACATAAAAACCCAATAGTATAAGCACCTGTATGATTCTATACTTAAAGTCATGGTATTAATCTGTTGCTTTTTTTTTTTGGAGACAGGGTCTCACTGTGTAGTTCAGGTTGTCCTTGAATTCACTATGTAGCCCAGGCTGGCCTTGAACTCACAGTGATCCTCCTGCCTCAGCCTTTCTAGTAATGTGATTACAGGCGTGCATCACCACACCAAGCAATCTGTTGCATTCTTGATTTTACAGAGCACAAATGTCAGATTCTAACCTAGGAAGAGATAATGTTTAACCAAAAACAAGGTAACACTGACTGTAAGTGTTAGACAAAGTACACTTCGGGCAAAAGGCATTAGAGATGAGATAAATAGTAATGGAGTACTTTCTAATGTTGCAGATAAACACAAAATCTCTTAAAACTACATGGAAGAATCTGGAGGATGTGATCTTGAGCAAAGGCAGCCGTACTCCAAAGAATATATAATGTATAATTTTATTTAAATCAAGTTCAGAAACGGGAATACTTCCTGAAAAGGAAGTATTTGTAAAAGGGTATGAGAAGGGATTTCTGGTATCTGGTGAGTGGTTTATTTTGTTAAAAAAAAAAAAACTTTGTGCCAGTTACACAGGCATGTTTATTTCCTGATGATACATTTTTTTATATACTTGAGGTGTGTGTATTTGTATATTCAACAGGACCTTTAAGTAATTTAAGTATTAAGGGGCTATAAACCAATCCCCATGATTCTTAAATCAATACGGCATTATCCTACCCAGTTAGACTGTCTTACAAAGAAACCACGGTGTGCACCCAGGACTGAGTGTCATGGTGACAGGCTCCTGTGTGTGTACCTGGATTGCATGTCTTTGATGCAGCAGTGCCTACAAGGACAGTAGTTCTCTGCCAGAACACTAACCATGCCCTCAAGTAAATTTCACCTTCCAAACCGTTTTCTACTTAATAGATCCAGAAAAGATGTGATTAATAATGCATTTCAGTTGGTTTCGCTACCATGAGGCTGACATGGACTATTTCATGTCCAACCCTTAATTTCTAACAAGAGAAGCCAGAAAACCCAAGCTCTAGCATTACAAGAGGAGACTGTATGGAAGGCTTAGCCTTGTCGCTAAGATTCTTTTCTAGTAGTATGTAGAAATTTCACAAAGTACTCCTTTTCAGTGTATCTTCATACAGGGCTATAACATTTTGGTCACACCCATCCCATCACTGTCTCTCACACCTCTTCCCTTTATTTCCTTGTTCCTTGCCTTTTGTCTAATTTTGATAGCCATGTCTTTTTTTTTTTTTTTATTTAAACATATATTAGGGAAAACACAATCCTTGCCTTTTTGAGTCTGGCTTATTTAACATGATCTTGAGTTTCATCCATTTTTCTTAGACATGTTTGTGCTTCTCTTGGACTAAATACTCCTGTCTTTTAAAAAATTACATATATATCTGTAGCATGCTACAGATCTTGTCCTTGTAAGCTCTTGTAACGTGCTGCAATAAGTGAATATCCAGGTAACCGTATAGTATCCCTATAGCTGCTGACTTGAATTTCTTCAGGTACATACCAAGGAGTGGGTATAGCAAGGTTATATGGTAGTTCTGGTTCTAGTTTTGATCAGTCTTACCGATTTACCTAGTGGCTGTATGAAGTTACATTCCCACCATGTGTATGAA